GTCACCAATTGCTGTCTAATGCTGAATATTTGTTACTTTAATTACCAACCTTTTCAACCGACGGAACCCTCCCTCAAATGGTTGCCACTTTCGGACTTAGCAAGCATGTATCAGTTTAAGAATCTCTAGATAATATACCAACGCGTGAACCCTTGTTCATGTATAAGGTATAACAATTGAGGTTAAATTTCAAAGAAACACTTTCTTAAAAGTACGTAAAGCGCAATATGCATAACTAAGGCCCAATCTGTATTGTCTTAACAAAAAGAAGAGGAAAATTCCAATTGAATTTCGAACTGAAATTTTGCCAAATGAGAGGAGATCATATTATGATGATTTTTGGGCTGATTGACACGACCCTTATAGTTGATTTGGAGCATGTATTATAAATTTTAAACAATCTGAATTTTTACTAAATGGACGATGCCGGTGCTTTGGCCCAAGAGGAGAAAACAAAACGACAAAAAGTTCCGTTGCCGGGAATCAAACCTGGGTCCCCTGGGTGAAAGCCAAATATCCTAACCACTAGACAACAACAGATACATGTTATACTAAATCACTTAAAACTTATTATACTAAACGTCTAAGGCTAATATATTTTACACTATTATACAAACATACTACGTTGTAAAAGATAGCGGTGAATGTGGATGGAACACGTGACCTTCAGATCTTCAGTCTAACGCTCTCCCAACTAAACTATCCCCGCAATTGGGAACACGTTTCTTCGTGTATTTATTACTCATCAAATTCTTTGATTATAATAAAGGCTTTGGATTTTTGTTTTTCTTTGTACTTAGGGGTGTATTCAATCACGACTTCCGTAGAGTTTTAAAGACTTTGAACTTTAAAAGTTTGGAGGTATTCAATTCAAACTTTTAGAGAGTCTTTAAAAATCAGGCGGTATTCAATCAAGATTTTTAAAGAGTCTTTAAAAGTCATGTGGTATTCGATTAAGACTTTTAAAGAGTCTTTAAAAGTCATGTGGTATTCAAAAAGTTATGAACTTTTGTAGACTTTTTCTCTCAAATATAAATAGTTGAAATCCAACCATCAACGCCAAGATTTCAAAATTTTCTTTCTAACAACTTTGAATATTTTCTCTCTCTATTTAAACTCTATTTTTTTCTCCCTATTTAAACTTTATAAACCTATCTAAATTCAATAAATTTTTTTTCTTCATTATCCTATATTTTTCTCATACCTAAACTCTACCAATTTCTCTCTCTATCCTACAGTTTACCATCTTCATCTAAAAATTTGAAATAATATTATTTTTACTTCATTATTGCTTGTTTATATTGATTTTTATTTTTTCTATGAATTTTTTATCCTAACTTTCTCTAATTCTCTCTAAATACATGAAAAAAGTAAATTTTTTATTGTCAACTTTTAGTATATGTTTCATAATATTCATATAAATACTTATATATTTTGATTTTTACTCTTTTTATATTTATATTCGTAATATATATATATATATATATATATATATATATATATATATATATATATATATAACAACAGGTTACTACGAATAGAGAACTACTGTTCGCAACAACAATTTGGGGTTGCAAATGGTAGCATCTTGTTGTTGTTCACTGTCTCAAATTGCTATTGTAAATAATATTTCTTTGCGTGATGCCTAGCAATAAAAGTTTACTTTTTTTTTTATATATATATTATTAATTTTTGATTTTTATTTTTTTTTATTTCATCCAACTTGTAATTATATTTTTAAATACTTTATTTGATCAATTCTTTTATTATAAATTTTATTGTTCAATATTGTTATGAATTTCTAATGAAATATTTTTTTTTGTTGATATTTATTAATAATATATATAAGTAATTAGCATATAAGTCTCAACATACTATGAATAAAAATAATAATGTTGAGAATACTGATGTGGGTGAAAAATTATATAATAAGAATTTTATGATATATTATAAATGTTTTGTAAGAAAGTTATAAAAGATAAGAATCAAAATCTTTGAAAGTTTGTAAGGATGTATTCAATTTAGAATTTCAATGACTTTTGTTGACTTTTTAAAGAGTTTTTTCCCAAAATGGTCCCTCGACTATCGCTCATTCTCAATTTTGCATTTCGACTTTTAATTGCACCCAATGTGGTCCCTTGACTTTTAAAAACTCCCCCAAATTGGTCCTCCGTTAGAAATTCCGTCTATTGAGTGTTAAAATGAAGGGCATTTTTGTCCGTTTACCTATTATATGCCTAATATACTCTGAAAAATAGTCGAGGGACCATTTTGGGAATAGTCGAGGGACCATTTTGGGAAAAATTCATTTATTTATTTCCATTTTTTTAAGACTATCATATTAGAATTTTTATAGATTTTTTTTCTTACAAATATAAATAGTTTTTAAACTTTCTCTACAATTTTTTCCTTCTGTCTAACCATACAAATTTTTCCTCTATCCCTATCAAGTTTTACAATAAGTTTCGTACTTTGGTAAACAAGTTTAACTTTCAAATTTAAGTTTATTAATATTCATATATAAAATACAAACAAACTTCAAAATGACAAGAACTTGTAATATTGAAAAAATATGAGGCTTTAGGTTTAGAATTGCTTGTTTTGTGCTAATTATTTTTGCATTTGGTTTATTTTACTTGTCCTTTAACACATAAAATTGATAGCCATAGTTGTAGACTCTCTTTAGCATGATGTACTTCTTGGTAGATATGCATTTGGAAATGGTAGTTATGATTTGTACTAACTTTGGAATGAAACTAATGGCCTTGCAAGTTAAGTTAAGCCAACTTTTAAAAAATATTTTCTAAGATTTTGTCATTGACCGAGAAGTGACGCGTACTTCTCAGTTCCAAGAAGTGCTAGAAGCATAGCGATTGATGGTAAAAACAATAATTTTATTTTCAAAGGCATACTGACCGAGAAATGAAGCGTACATTTTGGGTGTCTAAACTGATAAAAATAGTAATGTTATTTTTATTGGTAAAAATAATATTTAATGTGATACATAGTGATTGATTGTCTATTGAAGTGTGTGTGTGTGTGTGTGTGTGTGTGTGTGTGTGTGTGTGTGTGTCTGTGTGTGTGTGTGTGTGTGTGTGTGTGTGTGTGTGTGTGTGTGTGTGTGTGTGTGTGTGTGTGAACATAAAAAGTATATGAGTATTATATTTTTGAAACTTATGGAACTTATTGTAAAACTTGATAGGAATAGAGGGAAGTTGGTATGTTTAGATAGAAGGAAAAAATTTGTAGAGAAAGTTTAAAATTTTTACTTTTGATTGTGGATTTTAACTATTTATATTTGTAAAAAAAAAATGTATAGAAATTCTAATTTGATAGTCTTAAAAAAATGGAAATAAACAAAAATAAAATAAATAAATGAGTTTTTCCCAAAATGATCCCTCGACTATTCCCAAAATGGTCCCTCGACTATTTTTCAGAGTATATTAGGCATATAATAGGTAAATGGACGAAAATGCCCTTCATTTTAACACTCAATAGACGGAATTTCTAACGGAGGACCAATTTGGGGGAGTTTTTAAAAGTCAAGGGACCACATTAGGTGCAATTAAAAGTCGAAATGCAAAATTGAGAATGAGCGATAGTCAAGGGACCATTTTGGGAAAAAACTCACTTTTTAAAATAAAAAGTTAATAAAATTCTATGAATGCTTTTTATATAGACTTTTATAGAGTCTTATAAAGTTTTAAAAAGTTTTGAACGACTCTATGAAAGTCAATCAAAGTTTATTAAAATCTATCATTTTAAAAGTCTTTAAAACTCTACAAAAGTCATGAATGAATACACCCCCTTAGTGTTTAACCCGTGCATTACACGGATTTTTTTTTTTTGTTATTATGAATTTAAATTTAAAATATTAAAAAAATGAAAAGATGTTAAAATGTACAATATAATAATTAATATAGTTAGACTTTTATATATTTAGTCAAGTATCAATTTTCATAACATACAAAATTAAAATTTAAATTTTATATGGTTAATATGATCTATAATTATTTATATATTTAGATTAAATTTACATTTTCTTTATTGATTTCTAAGTATAATTCTCTTAGGGTGTGTTTGGAAACCCGGAAAATGATTTCTGGAAATCATTTTCCGGGTTTCTGGTGTTTGGCAAGCAATGGAAAACTAATGTCAATGGAAAATAACTTCTGATCAAAGGAAAATGACCTTGTTTTTTAGGAAAACAACTTTCCCTTTTTTTGGGGGAAGTCATTTTCCAGATTCATTTTGGCGACATTGTTCATCTTCTCCTTTCACACTCTTCCTCTCTCCTCTCTTTTCTAATCAATGTCGACCATTAATTCCGACGGCAGCTTCAATTTTCCGGGCGATGAATTTTCGACACTGTAGCAGCTTCTGTTTTCCGGGCAACGAATTTTCGGCGCTGCAGCATCACATTCTTTCTACATTCAACAACAATATTGTATTTAATTTGGTGAAAAGCAAATCAATTCAAGATGTGATTTTGGCAGCTTAAGTACGTTCAACAGCAAATAATTCCAGAAAATGGGATTAATTCCAATTTGAGATATACCAGATTTTGCTGTGATTTTGCTTTGTTTGTTACTTTCAATTGCAATTTTATTTTGGTTTTTATATTCTTAATTAAAAAGAATTAAAAATTTTAATTATACAATTTTAACTCATTTTCCAGAAAAGGAACCAAACACACAAAGATAGTTTTCTGTTGTGCATCCAAACACCGGAAAATAAAATATTTTCTGAAAAATGACTCATTTTCCAAAAAACATTTTCCAGAAGTCATTTTCCTGCTTTCCAAACGGACCCTTAGTTATTATTCATATTTTTAATATATATATATATATATATATATATATATATATATATATATATATATATATATATATATATATGTGAAATTTCTATAATATACTTTCATTAATTATAATTTATATTGATAGATTTATAATAAAAAAATTAGCATTTAAATTTTATATGATTAGTACAGTGCATAAATGTATGTATGTGATTGTGGCCTACAGGATTTTGGCTATTCAAGTTATCAGTACACCTGGCAGCGCTCCATGGGGGCGCCAAATATAATTGAGGAGAAGTTGGACAGGGTTTTGGTGTCTGAAACGTGGCTGGAGTTGTATGATGGGGCCACGGCAACCTCAATGCCATGCCCATATAGTGATCATCTTCCGATTATGCTTAGTCCTATTGTGGTCAGTCAACCACTGCGCTGGAGAAGGTTCACTTTTGATAATATGTGGCTTCGTGAAGACGTTTTCCCTGAGGTGGTGGAGCAAAGTTGGAGCAAGTCGATAGGTCATGATATCATCCAAAGGATAGAAATGTGCAGTCACGATGTGGAGCGTTGGGGCGCACGTATAATAGACAGTTCCAGCTGCGAATTGAGCGTTGTAAACGACGTCTTGAGGCGCTGCAAAGCTGTAGTGACCTAGCCAGTTGGGCGGAGTATGATCGGACTGAGAGCGAATTGCTTACCCTCTTGGACCAGCAACACACGTATTTGAAACCCCATGCGAAGGAGCATTAGTAGAAGGGGGGGGGGGGGGGGGGGGGGCTAAATACGAAGTTCTTCCACAATTCAATCAAGGCGAGGAGGCACCGGAATAAGGTTAAGAAGCTGATGAGGGATGACGAAACATGGGTTGAGGAAAGGATGAAATTGGTAGGGTGATGATGTTGGAAAAAATAGCTTAAAAATGGCATTGGTAGGGAATATCCCGACCGACATAGCTCCACCACGACCGAGATGCCTTCGTCCTTTTCTCTCGGTCTTTGCAGGTAACAGGTCGGGCTCCCTGTGAAGAACCCGGTCGGGGTCCGACCGGGGTTGCCCGAGCGGTAGTGTCGACCATCGAGCGGTAGCCCTTCGGCGAGAGAGCTGATAAAGGATACGTGGCGGCTCTCTATAGCGACAGACAGGGCACCCGGGAGGATGACACATGGAGGCTACGTGGAGAACATGCCGAACGGCCGGATTCTTGTCTCCGGCGCAGCAGCTATAAATACCCACAGTGGCTACAGTGTAGAGGACTTTTGGACGATCAATAGGTTGTAGTTAGAGAATCCCGACCGCAGTCAGTCGGTACTCAGAGCAACCAAGTAGATTGTACTTAGGGCCTTTACCGTGATCAATAAAGACATTTACTTGCTTTAATTGGTCTCGAGTTACTTCATATTGCTTACGTATAATTAGCAGTATCATTTTGGCGCCGTCTGTGGGGATCCGTGCAAGAAACCAACGTCTTGACGAGCACCCGGTCTCTATATCAACATGTACCCGTGGGCACACAACAACTTTGCCGACGACCAGGCGGATGCGGCGAGCTCCTCCGACCACTATGCAACCCAACAGCAGGGTCAGACGATGGACCTCAATCTCAACCTCTCACCACCGCATCCATCAAATGCATACCCGGCCGCACAACAGCCGGTGAATTACATACAACCGGGGTACCCAACACCCGGTCTGCCATACCAGCAGCAGCCGATGATGTATCCCGCCCAGTATCCGTACCCGGTCCCACCTCCGCCGTATGGGTATTGGCCAGGCCAACCGATGTGCTACACTCCCCCGGTTGGTTATCCACCATATACGCCTGCTTATACAGCTCCAGCCGCCGCCCCTCCAGTACAACCGACCGCACAGGTAGAGCCGCAGCGTCAGTCCGCATCCCGGGCTCGACGCTCGGCTCATTCGCGGTTGGGGTCGGGGGGTGCTGATGCGATGGAGGCACCAGCTCAGGCCGTCCAAGCGGAGGACCCTGAAGAAGTTGCCCGAGCGGTAGCTTTTGATCGTCTTCGACCGGAGATGCGCCAGCGTTTGGGACCCCAAGACCCGAACCGCGGGCAAGAAGACGTACAGATGCAGGAGGCTAGCCAGGAGGCTTCATCTGGGTATAGCGGGTCGAGATCTCACCGACGGCGACGCGCTCGGGATACAGCCCAAGCCGCTCAACCCGCCGAGCTCAACGAAACCCGAGGATTACTATATAACCTCCAGGCGGAAGTTGCGCAGCTCAGGAATGCGTACCCTGCAACACCCCCGGTCAACCAATCGACCTTGCACCAGACGCCTTTCACAGCAGCGGTAATGGCCCAGCCTTACCCGCTCGATTTAAAGGTCTCTGGAGAGAAGAGTTATGACGGACGGGCAGATCCTGAGGCCCACGTGAATGATTTTTTCAGCAACATGATGCTGAAGGGCGTTTCGGACGCCGTGATGTGCAGGGCCTTTTACTCGACCCTCACCGGTCGGGCGGCAGAGTGGTTCCGTACCCTGCAACCGGGGTCGATCGATAAATTTGAGACCCTGGCGATCAAATTTGTGAGGAAGTTCATCACTTCCAAAGTGGTGAGGAAGTCCTACATGTATCTCGAGAAGGCCAAGCAGCTAGAAGGGGAAAGCTTGACCGACTTCCTCATCAAATGGAAAGCAGCGGTCGGGGAGGTCGAGCCTATGGACGATGCGACCGCCACCCACATGCTTCACATATCTCTCCGGGCGGGGCATTTGTATCAGGACTTCATCCTACACCCCCCGACCAGTTACGAGGAGGCCCTTCGGAGGGTCGCAGATTACGCCAACGCCGGCGAGGCGAACGCCGTAAAGCGCTTGCAGGAGGTCGGCTCTTCGTCCGTAAACCGGCCGGCCGGGCGGAGCATCGGTCGGGAGATGACAATCCCCGATCCCGCACCAGGCCTGGCGAGTTTACGGCCTTGAACCGATCCGCAGCGGAGGCCATGCAATACGCCCAGTCCTGCAATCTCATCAAACTCCCCCATCCCGATCGAGACGGCCCTAACAAGAGTAAGCACTGTGCTTACCATCGATGCGCCGGGCATGATACTGAGGAGTGTACCCACTTGCGCCAATTGTTGGAAGATCTGCTCAACCTGGGAAAATTGGACAAGTGTGTGGGGAAGAGAGAGGACAACAAGAAGAATACCGATCGGAGAGATCATAGGCGTTCTCATCACCGCTCCGATCGGTCAGGTCAGGACCGAAGAGACGATCGAAGGGACGATCGTCATGATGACCGACGGGACCCTGACCCTCCGTCCGGTAGCCGCCCGTCCGGAAAGCCTACCATCCACGTCATTTTTGGTGGGCTGGAAGATGCTTCCCGACCGCGGACTAATTGCCCGGTCGCAATAGTGGATTCCCGGGAGACCGGGAAGAGGCAGAAGATGGAACCCATAACCTTCACCCTCGAGGACCAACCTACCAGTAGTGACCACGGCATGGAGGCGCTCGTGGTCACGATTGACGTTAAGGGGACGGACGTCCAAAGGGTTATGGTGGATACGGGCAGCAGCGTGAACGTCCTTTACTTGAACGTCTTCGAGAAGCTTGGCCTCGACAGGAAGGAGCTGACGCCGGTCGGTGTACCACTGTCAGGATTTACCGGGGCTCTTATTTACCCCGAGGGAAAGATAACGCTCCCGGTCGAGATCGGCGCGCCTCCAAAGTCGATCAAGACAGAGCTGGAATTTGTTGTGGTCAACCTCCATTGCGTCCACAACATTATCTTGGGCCGACCCGCCATTATGAAGATCGGTGGGATAATTTCTATGCCCCACCTGTGCATGAAATTCCCCACCCCTAATGGGGTCGGCGTGGTCCGTGGCAATGTCGAATCCGCCCGGAAGTGTTACACCCGAGCGGTCAATAGACGTGACTCCGGTCCATCTTCCCGGGTGAACACCATAGCCAAAGAGGAGGCTAAGGAACGGAAGGAGCAGCCTGAGCCTTCCGAGGAAATAGAAGAAGTTCCCCTATCTGAGGATCGCCCGGATAGGAGGATCAAGATTGGCCGAGCTCTCACCCCCGAGCTTCGAGCGGAAGTTTTGGCCATACTCCGGGAGTATGCTGATATCTTTGCGTGGGGGCCCGAAGACATGCCCGGAATCGATCGGTCGGTCATCTGTCACAAGTTAGCCGTCGATCCCGCAGCCAAGCCGGTCGTGCAGAAAACACGACACCTTTAAATCGGGAAGAGTAGCTCCGATTGCTGCCAAGGGAGATCTTGGCGGGCGGGGGAAGGGGGGCATCTTCATCACCGAACTCTGCCATGGCAGCAAATAAAAAAAGTTAGATCGATCGGTATAAAAATAAATCGGGAAGAGTAGCTCGGGTTAAACCTTTCTTCTTCCGCCTCAACGGCTTGGCGACCGTCACGCCCATAGGTACGGGCAGATATTTCTCCCGTAGCTCGTATGTAGGGGGCGGGAGTTTAGCCGCCTCGAGACTCTCGGCCGTTCGGAAGATTGTGTATTCGTGCAGCTCGCTCGAGATCCGAGCGACCGTCTCCTTGAGCGCTTGTGTCTCGTCCGGCACCACTTGTTTCCGGAAGTGGGTGCTCCAAGCGCGGTCGACCGGGAGAATCCAAGGATCATATTTGATGGAAAAGATCCTATTCTTCCATCCCTTGTTGTTCCCGGGCAGGCCTTTGATGGCGCACATGTCCGCTCGAGACTGCAGCATTAGGAACCCGCCTCCATAGCTGCCCGGGAGAACTTTGACTTGGTAGATGAAGTTGAACAGCTCCATCGTGCAAGCGGCCTCGTGCCGAGCGCATATCTGGGGAAAGCAGGCGATGATCCGGTGCGAGTTGGGGCAGATCTGAGCCGGGACGACCCGGTAGTATGCCAAGAAGGCCGTCAGGAGGGGCGGGAAAGGAATGGCGATCGGGGCCATCAGGGAGTCGTAATGCATCCCGATCCACTTGCCCCGGTGCCGATCGATCACATTCCCTAGCTTTCGGCTCGTGTCAAATTCCACCCGACCCCTGAGCATTTCAGCAATCCTAGCCGCTTCGCCTTTGGTCAGCCGGCTCATTTGCTGTTCGACATTCTCGCTGTTCAAGAATTCGAACTCTACTGGTGCGGCCGGCCCGGCCGTGTTTTCCTCGGCCTGCTCAGGGGTGTTTTCCCGGTCGCTTCCCCGAGCAACGGCTTCCGGGTGGTCCCCAACCACCCGGGTTGGCATTTCCCTAATACCTTCGGTCGGTGAACCCCGTCTGCCTGACGAGGTTCCTTCTTCTTCCTCTTCTCCGGAGCTCCCCGATCCGCTTGAGCTGGAACTCGATGACCCAGAGGAGCTTGATGCGTCGTTTTGTTCGGAAGCCCGCTCGGGGGCTGGCGCCGGTCGGTGAATGGCCTCGGGAGAGTAGGACATGATGTCCACTTCCTCGTCGCTGAGGTACTCGACCTCCTCGTCGTAGTCCGCGATCGAGGCGTTTTGGCTGTCAGAGTCCGTCATTTCGATCTACCTAAAGGTCGGTCGGGGTTAGTAAAGGACTTGAGACGTCCGGGACAGTTAGTTGACCTAACGATTCTACTTATAAATGAAAACGTAAAGTAAAAGAAGGGTTGAGAACTTACCGAATGGAAGAACTTTGCGAATGAAAGCTTGAAGTCTTTTAGCTCGACT